GAAGTCACCAATAACAACTAGCTTGCCCACGGCATTGATACGAGGGCGCACAGTGCTCACTTTCTATAAAGTCAGTTCATGGACGTCTGAGGCTGCCTTCTCTCTGGTGAGTTGACTATTGCCTTAGCTAAAAGAGCATCATTCCAGACTACCGAGGTGAATGGAGTGACTGAGAAGGCGGCAGAGAACGGGTGCTGTTTATGGTTTATTTATTCGACCGAGGGTATAGCGTCCAACGGCTACGATCAACTGCTAACGCTGTGAACAGTGCGCGCTGCCAAGCAAATCGTCCCAGTCCCCATAAAGGAATAGGCAGTGTTCCTCTGCATATACTGTTTGACCATCCCAACGCATCCAGGACTATTCCAGTAGGCAGGCGACTCTAAGTGGCCTGGGCAGCCACCAGGACTACTGGCATACTGGCCTAATGGAATACGGATGGTAGATTTTAGAGGTGGTTAAGTAAACGCAAATATCCTAACTTCTACAACACTGGGTTATCACTTAAGCATAAATTGCGTAAAGGCCACTAAGGAGTTAATAGAGTTCAGTCCAAAGAGGAAGTTGGCAGCCTTCCGACCTACGACCTGGATTGCGTCCTGATAGTTTAAACGAGCGCCAACTTCAATAAAGTGTAGAAAACACTGAGTTGACCTAGTTCTTCAAGTAATTAATCTAGGTATGATAGGTGACTTGAATAAAGTATACGTCTACGCGTGCCAGAGATACCATCGAATCCTTTCTATTATTTACTCAGAATACGCGCAGATTTCCTGGATGGCGATATGTACAAAATGCCCTAACCTGGTCTAGATCCCTATGCAGGACAGTAGTCGGGATGTGGTCACGACGTAGAGGCCCGTGACGTCACAGGAAAGAACTGAAAGCCAAGGGGCTGTTCAGCATGTACCAATTGCAACGAAGTAACTAATGTCGTTATATCATCGCCCCAATCGGCACCATAAACACCCAACTCCAACATTGGTATCGGCTGAATGGTGCTCACATCACCAGCGAGGTAGGCAGACCAACTCGAAATTTCGGCGCCGTGTATCGGTGAAG